TTTGGTTGTGTTGTATATACGTAAAGTGGATTATCAAACCTGTGTACTTCACCTAGAATCCAGACTGAAACAACCCCATGATTATCAAACCCGTGAATGGATCCCCCCTGCTAGAAACCCCCCTCGTGCCGGAAATATGCAAGACACGTAGTACAATTCACAGTTTACGCGGCGGGGGAAAACGAGGGGGGGCGTACTATATGTATTTGAAGTGCCTGAGTGGCACATGAATAATAGTGTTCGTCGCCTGGCTCACACTAGAAATCGGCCCTTCTGCAATTACGAACGCCACCATATCTGAAGTCAAATCGTCCTGGAACTGCAGCCTTTGGAAGGTCAAAGGTTGGGCCTATCTCATTTAGGGAGTACGACCGAACAAAAAAGTCCAGGGAGATCGACTGATGAAGCTGACACTAACAGTAATGTTCGTATTAATAGTATTTATTATGCCTATTCATAAGTTAGTAGTATTTAGTACTTATGTAGTGTACTGTATACAGATGATACACCCTCTTCAGTTGACGACGGCCACAAAAATCCTCCTCAGGTAGTCATAAAAGATCCAGGCAATCTAATTATGGATTTGTTGACACAACATCGTACGTACGTACATTCACTCATGCGCGTCAAAAATGTCGTGGTCACGACCAGCCACCCGTGGAAACGAAATGGGTCACATCAAGACACGATCAAATCGTTGAATGGATATCATCCATCCAATTCACAGTAAATTACACTCGTGTATCTTTTGAGCTTACTACTGTAAGTCTAAAACGTTATCTAAACGTTCTATGAGCGGCACCATTACAGTACAAAGCCACGCACTGACCATAAACATGTCCAGATCTCTCTCTATATAAATAGGCGCTGCTCTTGCCGTAGAAACGGAGGCAAGGTCTACTGTACTGTATCTTCCAAGCGTGCTCTGCTTCTTCCATGTACGAAAAGGTAAAGGCCCCACTTCACTGTGAATATGTTAGAGGTTGGTACAATGGTACAATTCCAATGAACTGGCTTGTGGCATAGCCTCCCCTTCCAGTTGTTGTGAGCTTATCCCGAAATGGAATCCGATGGCGGTCACAAAATTCACTGAGGCAATATATTGCATTTGTTTGCATCCCTCGATGTTGAAGTTTCATACAAATAAGAGGTTTAATTGCACTTGATCTTGTCCACCAGGGCCATCTTACAAAATGCAAGTATAAAAATATGCAAAACACGGAACCATATGAAACACTCGACAACCTTCATTTGATTCCAAACCTATAATATTATTCAAGTTAATTTAAACAAGCTTGGGAAATATATTCAAGACGCAAATTAATATTCCGATTGTATTTTGGTGCTCGCCAGGAATCTGATTTGGTCCAATCAAACGACAGACCACCAGTTCCACATTTCCACAACTCCAGCGAAGTCCACGACGTCCCATCCATCATGGCCCTCATGCTTGCTGCTCAACGTGTACCCCAGCGCCTCCTACCGCTACATCGAGTGGCTCGCTTGCGCGACGCTGTCCGTCGCATGCATGTCGAGCCCAGCCAGAACGCTGTCGAGGTACCCACCTCGCGCACCGATCGACGGTTCGTTGACTTATTCGTAGGAACTCATTCAAACGAGCCCTGTGGTGTTCTTCTCGAAATCATACTGCCCGTTCTGCGTGCGCGTGAAGGAGCTCTTTGAAGACATGGACATCAAGCCTTTGACGATCGAACTTGACGACTTAGGTAAGTCTCGTCGATTGTCGCAGCGAGACCTTGAAACCTCTCCCTCCCTTCGACTGCATTAGAGGCCGGCCAAGATATCCAAGACGTCCTTGCAGACATGACGAGCCTTCGCACCGTTCCGAACGTGTTTATCAACGGCCGACACATTGGCGGATGCGACAGCGTCATGAAGCTGGCCAAATCCAACACATTGCTCGACACCATCAACCACCACGCATAACTTAACCTATTTCCTTCCCCCGCCCATCCCTTACCATCTCATTCAGGAATTGAAATGCGCGGCATACGCATTCTACAGGCTTGGACTTCGTACAAGAATGAACCAGTCCATTTCCGATAGCTTATGAACTACTACGTTTGTGTGCATGACGCTACCGCAGGTTGTCGTGCGCATGGTCGTTCAGTTTTCTGTTGAGCGGTCGTACTGTATTCGATATTCATCTGACTTGGAAATTGTATGGTGGCCTATCGTCCACTTCAACACTAATCCACAAACGTCAAGCTTGCGATGTCATGTCATATGGACGTGCGATGGAGTTTATATCATTTACTAAGTGCTCGTTTCATCTCCCGTACAGTGTATGAGCGTGGGAGTTGATGATCGATCGTTGATATCATATGTATCATCATTATGACATACCCACTGTGAAGGTGTTGTCAGACCGACACTACCCCACTTTCTGCCTCATCATGCTTCAGCCCTTGCTACTCTTTGACCCTGCATTAAGCACTTAACATCTCGAGGTTGTCCACGGTAGACCAAAACGGAATGCTTGCAAGCTGTAGAGCGTCCAGCCGTGTAACAAGGCAGCAGTCGGGGTGTCAGGCTCAGCAGTTGTGGTCATTGGTGTAGAGTCACTGATGCATCAATCATGCCTGTCAATCGCAGTCGACCGCTACACCTGTGAACACGACCGCTGCGCCAGACACAACGATCATGCCTCTCATCACGATCACTGGGTAGTGGTCATGGTGACGTGCACATCAATGGACCACTACCTCCACGACTCGTGGAGGTAGCGTACTGTAGTAGGGAGAATGGTGGCAAGTATTCCCTCCCTAGGGCCCTAACAGTAAGTATACACGATTTACGAACTACTAGCAATCACGAAACGTTTTTGTTTCGTAAATCACTTGTATCTACTGTTACTTGGTGGTTCACGATACAAATACGAAACGTAACAGTATCTAGTATATACTACTAGTACTACTAACCAAAGTGGAGGTGTGTTTGCACAAGTAAAGTTGAGGTGCACGTCATGAAAATGCAACATGAGTAGAACCTCGCATGCACTACAGCAAGACCAACTCAAAGGCTGTATGTTGACAAGGTACTTGTTGGGGGCTGGACCTAATCGAAGCCTCAAATAAGCGGGGTGAATCGAGCCGAGCCACGAGTCAATTCGACGAAGTTGTCGTGTTGCCAACATGAAGTCAACCATCATCCAAGACAGTGGCTTGGACGATGCAAGTGGCAACATACTACCGGTAGTACACAAGCGAGAATTTGGTCGATTACATTGTGAATAACTGGACAAGATTTGATGTTAATTTTTACTTGGAAATATGTTGGTGCTAGCATGTATGTAATGTACACTACTTCGATGTATATGCTTATGAGTGAGGGGGAGGCTGTTTTTCACTAGTGGTGTTTTGGGGTTTTGCTCGTGGATTTTCAGGTAGAGTTAGACGTGGGGCTTCACTCGTGGTTAAATCGTGTGGTGGAGTTTTATTTAGTGGGCATTACTGGGTTGTTGCTTCATAGTCGAGCAGCCCAGTAAGTGTAATATCACTCCATCATAGCTAACGTAAAACAAGCAAACAAGCCGTGGGCCCTATATCTTCACGAAGGTATTGTAACCGTGTTAGAGTGTACTTTGTGAGCTGTAGTGCTGGTCATACCATACAGTTCGAATGCCTACGCGTCGATACGTATAAGGATGCCCAAGCAATTCTCGTTAACACTAAGTTCCACAGTTTAACCACAAGCAAAACAACAACACATGACATTTTCTGTGACCACCAGTAAAAAGTCAAATGGCCACACGTTTTTATCCTATTCCCCTGAGTGAGGCACGGCGAGTTCGACGAGTACGGTATGGCGAAT